AGAGAGAAGAGAGAGAAGAGGAGAGAGAAGGGAAGAGAAATAGAGAGAGAGAAGAGAAAGAGAGAAGAGAAGAGAAAGAGAGAAAAGAAGAGAGAAGGGAAAGAAATAGAGAGACGAGAAATAGAGAGAAGAGAAAAAGGGAGAAGAGAAATAGAAAGAGAGAAGAGAGAGAAGGGAAGAGAAAGAAGAGAGATAGAGAGAGAAGAGAAGAGAGAGAGGAGAGAGAAGGGAAGAGAAATTGAGAGAGAGGAGAAAGAGAAAAGAGAGAAGGGAAAGAAAAATAGAAGAGAAATACAGAGAGAGAAGAGAAATAGAGATAGAAGAGAGAGAAAAGAAGAGACAGGAGAGAAGAGAAATAGAGAGAGAGAGAGAGAAGAAAAATGCAGAGAGGAGAAATAGAGAGAAGAGAAGAGAAGAAAATATGAAGAGACAAGAGAAATAGAAGAGAGAGAGAGGAGAGAGAGAAGAAAAGAGAGAAAAGAGAAGAGAAAGAGAAAAGAGAGAGAGAAGAGAGAATCTGAAATACAGAGCTAGACAGACACACTTGCGTGCATGTGCATGCACGCACACACACACACACACACACACACACACATTCTAAAGCAAAAACACAACTCTCCATGAGAGTGCTGTTTACCTCACAGGCAGCTGTTGTAGTATAAAGAATACTGGGCAGAAGACAGAACTGAGTTAAAAGTCCCAGTACCTCTGCTACTCACTAACTGTGGGACCTCGGGTCAGTCACTTTCATCCTCTAGGATTCAGTTTCCATGACTGTAAAATGAAGGGGTTGTAGTGGATGATCTCCCTGGTCCCTTCCAGTCTTTTGCCCAAGGTCACCCTAGAAGAGCTAGAGCTAATATTTGAACCTAGGACTCCTGACTCCTAAACCAGCTTTTATGTCACTATACGCAGTGAGCTCAGGGCCACAGAGCCAGGGGAAGGGAGAACATTGTGCAGAGCCCCTCGGTTTTCTTTAGTAGGTGACATAAAAAGGGTCCCGAAGAATATGCTTATGGTTTTCCTAATTCAAGAACAAGTTTCAGAAAACTTATAAGGCTATATAGTGGCAAACTTGTATTATTACTATTCAGATAAAACATCAGAGGAATATTTCTGTGCATGGAAAGATGGAGGTTTGGGGTAAAGGGTTATGGTAAAGGGAGCCCAAGTGGCTAACAGTTTTTAACATATATGGGGGGGGGAGAAGTTACCTTTGTCCCTGAGTTATTCTTCAGCTTTGGAGAGGCAGTAGAGGACGAGCAAGATGCCACGTGGGATTTCTGCATCGACCGTCTCGCTTCTGCCTCTAGTTTTGTTTCTGGTCTTGGATGGTCATGTGCACCTTTTGACTTAAAAAAAAAAAAAAGGTAAAGTCAGAGGGAAGGACTTTGGGTGTCCGTATTATATGAAAATCAGTTGAAGTTTGGCCTGGGGAGGAGAAGACTCAAGGGAGATATGATAATTGTCGTGAAGGGCTGTTGTGTGAATGGAGGAGGGATTAGAGTTTTTCTCTTTGGTCCCATGGAACAGAACTGAGAATAGTAAGTAAAAACTGCAAACCCACAAATTTAGTCTTGATGTCAGGAAAGATTTCCTAACAATTAGAGTTGTTCAAAAGCGGGATGGGCTGGTGGGTTTTCCTTGCTTGGAGGTGTCCAAGCAGAGGCTGGGTGACTGGCTGTCAGGTATGTAATGGCTGGTTGGACGACATGACTGCTCAAGTTTGTTTCCATTCTCAAATTCTGTGATTCTGTGATAATGATATGAATGACTGGCTTCCAGACCAGGGGATTTTAAACCTGACATGCACAGTCTCCCCATCAAGAGATCACAGTTTGGTTATCAGTTGGCCTTAGGATTGGGAATGGATAGAATCAGTGCCAGAGTTGGGTAGATATGCATCATGGAGTGAGGGTGAGGGGGTTCAGGAGACCAAACAAACTGCTCTTTGCCTACAAACAATGCGTGAAGCTTCCAGCTGCTCAAAGTTTCTAATTCATGTAACCTGCCTATATGACTGGTTGGCACACCCAGAGAGAAGGCTATATGATTGCAGAATTTTAGATATTTTCCTCTTCCATACATTATCCTCACAAGCCAGAATTTACATGTAATTCCTTATGGAATCAAAAAAATTCATCAGTTCAGCTGCTGAGAGGCAGTGTGGTATAGTGGTTAAAGCCCTGGACTTGACATCAGGAAGTCCAGAGTTAAAATCCTACCTACAGTGCTTGTTAGCAATGTGACCCTGGGCAAGTCTCTTACTCTCTTTGAGCCTCAGTTTCCTCATTTATAAAATGAAGAGCAATAAGAAAATGTATCTAAAAGTCCTTTGAAGAGTGTTACATGGGGCAGGTAGGTGGCACAGTGGATAGAGCACCGGCTCGGAAGTCAGGAGGACCTGAGTTCAAATCCGTCCTCAGACACATAACATTTACTAGCTGTGTAACTCTGGGCAAGTCACTTAACCCCAATTGCCTCACCCCCCCAACAAAAAAGAGTGCTACATAAATGTTACTGTTCAGTCATGTCTGACTCTACGTGACTTCATTTTGGAGTTTTCTTGGCAAAGATACTGGAGTGGTTTGCCATTTCCTTCTCCTGGTCATTTTATAGATGAAGAAACTGAGGCAAACAGGATGAAGTGACTTGCCCAGTGTCACACATCTAGTAAGTGTCTGAGGTCACATTTGAACTCAGGTCTTCCTGACTCCAGGACTGGTACTCTGTCCACTGACCCACCCAGCTGCCCTACATAAATGTTACCTATTGTTATCTACCAATCCCAGGACAAACTGATCCTTCTTACCTCCTTTTTACCTATGAGAAGAATCAAGCAGCCTTTCTCTCCTAGGCTTCTATTGGTTTTCCTGAATCATTTCAGTAAACTCTCTTCTAAATTTAATTATTGCTTAGTCATTTCAAAGCTGACTGCAGTCTTCACTAGCAGGTTGTCCTAGAGGTATGTTACCGACACAAGAATTTTTTTCCTTGGTCCTAACCTAAAATTTCATCTCCTGGTGTGGAAACAACCCATACCGATGTTGATTGGCGACTCATTTGCAGTTTTAGGTCTTAGAGACTTTCCTGGGGCACGAAAAGGCACTCAGTCAATATATATCACAGAGAGGATTTGGCCTAGTAGGGAACCTGCAGCCCAGGCCACGGCCGCAGGCTCCCCACACCTGGCCTAGGACCTCCTGCAGAGTTGGGGGATGGGGGACAGCAGTATAAACCCCTCCAGATTTCTTTAGCAGGTTACATGGCAAAGGGTCTGAGGCATGTGCTTCTGTTTTTTCCTAACCATCTCGCAGGGCTGTTGTCAGGAGCAAGTTTTGGAAATCTTATAGAGGCAAACTTGTATGACAATACAGATTAAACATCAGAGGAATATTTCTGTATGATCCAGCCTAGGCTGGTTTGCTCTCTCCTAAATGCCACTACCTCTCACCACAAGAATAATGTCTTATACTGATAGAGCCCTTTACATTTTAATAAATACTTTTATAATATCTTTTTTTTTTTACTATATCTCCTTTGAGACATGCAACAACCTGTGAGGTTAAAAAGGAAGAGATTATTATGTCCACTTGACAGACAAGAAAACTAAGGAGATCCAGAGAATTAAGTAGCCTAGAGGCAGCTAGGTGGCACAGTGGGTAGAGCTCCGGCCTTGGAGTCAGGAGGATCTGAGTTCAAATCTGACCTTAGACACATGACACTTACTAGCTGTGTGACCCTTGGCAAGTCACTTGACTCCAATTGCTTCACAAAAAAGAAAAAAAAGGCAAAAAAAATAAAAAAGAATTAAGCGGCCTGCCAAGGTCATTGCATTAGGAAATGATGAAACTTGGGCACTTGAAAACCCAGGTTTTATGGTGCCAAGCTGGCTTGTGTTCCATTATTCCATATTGCCTGTTGACTGACTGTATAACATCCTTTGCTTGTCATCCCTGACACAACCTTAACTGTGTTTATTTAACAATCTAATTAAAACTCCCTCCTTTTTTTTTTTTTAAATGTGTTGGTATTAAATTCCCTGGCCTGGCTGTAGTTGTTGTGGTTATTTTTAACTCAACCTGAAAAAAGATGAAACGTCCATCATGCCTCCAGAAGTTGGTGACTGGGAAGCCCCCATGACCACGACAAGGAATGAGTTTCAAAGGCCCATTACAATTAGGACATCGTTTTCCTGCAAAAAAGAAAAGTGAGGTGACTAAGCAGGGTAAAACCAACCTTACCTGAGTCAGGTTTGTGCCTCTCTCTATACTCCACTTTTCTACCCCAAAAGGCTGAAAATGTTTCAAAATGTTTTTAGATATCTGAAAGCCTCTACCCCTCAGGGTTGGTGATCCCTCGATTATACTTTATTGATGTTATAGTCACATAGGAGTTTAGATTTAGAGCTAGAAGGACTTGACTTAGAGGTCAACTGGTTTTTTCCTCACTTCATTTTATAATTGTGGAAACTGAGACTCAGAGAGATTTAAGTGACTTGTCCAAGGTCACACAGGTGGTGAGTAAAAGAGCTGGCTGTTGAACCCAGGTCCTCTGAGTCCCAATTCATTGCCTCTAGTGAGTGAGAGTCAAATTATATGTAAGCAGTGAACATAGTTACCCACCTGGTATAATTTCAGAGGATACCTAAGCATTCCCAAATACTTTCCTCATTGTTCCCCAATCTTTGAAATTCTGTTAATAGAGAACAAATCCTTTCATTCCACAATTAAAGATGTGTCTTACAGCTCTGAAGAACTTATGATGAAAAATGCTATCCATCCCCAGAAAAAGAACTGATGGTGGTCTGAATACAGATTGAAGCATATGTTTTTTACTTTCTTTATTTTTCTTGAGGTTTTTTTTTTTTTTGGTCTGTGTTTTCTTTCACAACATGACTATTATGGAAATGTTTTGCAAGACTACACATGTATTACCTGTATTGAATTGTTTGCCTTCGCAATGAGGGGATGGATGGGGAGGGAAGAAGGGAGAGAATTTGGAACTCAAAATTTTCAAAGCGAATGTTAAAAATTGTTATTACATGTAACTGGGAAAAATAAAATCCTAAAGAATTAAAAAATTAAGATGTGTCTTAGAATGCAAATACCCCTAGAAAAGTAATACAAAGACTAAAAGTCACAGTGAGATATGAGTGTTCTCAGGCCCTTTCTTGAGAGTAGGTTTTAATAGGGATCAGGCATGAATTTAGGAGGACGGTGCACCATGGGGGTTGGATGAATCTAGGAAAAGGGAGTCTTAGGGCTTCAACTTCCCTTTTTTTCATAGTTTTGCCTAGAAGGCTAGGCCTTTGCTGCCAATAGCTGTGGCCAGTCAGTGAAGTTATCTGGAAGGTTTAATGCAATTTGGCTGCCCTTAGGAAATAGGCATAAATAGAAGTACAAAAACTTCTCTAACTGACGAGGGGCTAGAATCTTAGAATATAAGAGCTAGAAGAGATCATTTCGGACATTGTTTAGTCCAAGGGCTCTTAACCTTGTTTGTGTCTGGTGAAGCCTATTCACCCCTTCTCAGAATAAATTTTCTAAAATTTCTAATGAAGGAAATACTAAATTTTAATTAGAGGTTAGTAAAAATAAAGATATATATATGTATATATACATATATTCCTATCCGAATTCATGTACCCCATTAAATCTATCATGGGGCCTGTGAACCTTAGGTTAAGAATTCCTTATTTAGTCTAACCTCCACATTTACAGGTAGTACAACTAAGAACCAGAGACTTTCCCAAAGTCATCCAGTGAGGACAAGGCAAAGGTGAGATAAGAACCCAAGTTGCCTGACTCTCAGTTCAGTGTTTGTCCCACTACACCATAATCAAGATATATGGTCCAGAGTAATAAATAGATTTATAGTAAGAAGAATTGAAGTTCAAATTGCAGCTGTTACTTATTAGCTTTTTGACTTCTAAGGGCCTTAGTTCCTCATCTATAAAATGAGTGGATTGGACTCAATGACCTCTTAAGGTCCCTCTACCTCCAAGGATATATGTGGGCATTTCAGGATCTTATAGGAGCAGGTATACTATTGGGTGAGCAACCACAGAAAGGTCCTTAGTTTGTCTTGAATATACCACTGAATGCCACCAATGTGGGAGTGATGAGAGGTTGAGCATTTCTCGCAGAGGGGTTTCATCTCTGCAGCTTTCTACTTTGCCAAAGCTTGGTCCAGCCAGGCCACGAGTCTTTGCATTTTGTATCTTAGAAGGACCTTTGATTTTATTGGTGTAGGGAACTTCCTGCAAGGAAACCCTTTCTACCAATGCAGATAAGCCACAGCTCTGCAATTTATAGTCTAAGAGAAGAGCCTGGGACACAGAGAGGTTAAGTGACTTTCCTACAGTCACACTAGTACATGTCAGAAGCCAGTCTTGAAACTAAGTCTTCCTGACTGTAAGGCCAGCTATCTATCCATGTCTCTGTTTTAAAATTATTTTAAGCATTTTAACTGGGTATTTTATGGTGCAGGCTGGTTTAATAACTAAACTTTAAAGCTAAATACACTGATTTCTGGCTTTATCATGACTCCCAATATTGGGGATTTCAACCAAATAGAGATTTTGTTTGAGACTTGTCCCTTTTCGTGTCAGAATTTATCTGTCAAATAGCTCTTTTTTGTGGCAAAGACTTCGAAACTAAGGTGTCCATCTATTGGGAAATAGCCAAATGGCATTTGAATGTAAAGAAACACTGATGTGTCATAAAACATGAGGAAAGGGAAACTTTCAGAGAAACCTGGGAAGACTTGTGTGAACTGATGCAGAATGAAGCGAGCAGAACCAGGAGAACAATTTGTACAAGAAATAATAACCAACAAAGACAAACAAAAAAACTCAAATCAAAGCAATGACCAATTATGATTCCAGAAGAATGATGAGAAAACATGATATAGATCTCCTGACAAAAAGGTCATTGATTAAAGATATAGAATGAGACATACATTTTTGAACATGGTCAATCCTGGGATTCATTTTACTTGACAATTCAAATTTGTTGCAAGGGATTTTTTTCCCTCCCAATTAGGGATAGATGAGAGAGAAAGAAAATAAATTTTTTGTTAATTGAAAAAAAATTTCCTTAAAAAAAAAAAGAAAAATTTATCATTCACATTCCCTCAAGAACATCTTTTCCAAGATTTCAAATACAAAACCTAATAAACTCTTATGCGAATGTATTAGTGAATGATATCCTCCAGGTGAAATACTTGACTTTTAATAGGGACTTCCTGGAGATCATTTCCCAACCCAAAGAAGTGACTCTAATGGAGTAAACTGGGTGGGGACTTTCTTCATCTGTAAATTAAGGAATTAAGACCAGATGACCTATGAGGTTCCTAACAGCTCAGAATCTAGGTTTTGATGGTTTTGGACAGGGAGGGCCTTTCAGTAACCCACGAATCTCAGAGGAAAGGCCCTGTTTGGATATTAGAAAACATCTGGTGGCGAAGGCCCCAAATACGGCATTACTGCAGGGCTCCAAAATGGGACAAGACCCCTGCCGGCTTGGGTGTGAGCGTGGGCAGGCCTCTGGACGGACTCACTCTGCTGCTTTTGCCGGGCTTTGTCGCAGATGGCCGGTCTCAGATAGATCTTCCTTCCCTCCTCGGCAGAACAGTCCTGGCTGCAAACGACCACTCCCAGGCAGGACTTCTTCAAGATGCGGGAGTTGTGATTGTTGGTGTTGCGCATGGCCCAGTTGCTTAGGTGCCTCTGTGCGTTCCTGTCCTCTGAACTGTAGATGTGCTTCACGTAGGAATCTGGCCATTCCTGAAACCAGTCAGTTGTTTTCACATCCTGATAAGAACTCCAAGAATGTTAATTTAAGTGAAAGAAAACAACACACACACACACACACACACACATATACAAACTAGGAAACAGAAATCATCCATCACAGAAGGGGCAATGAGTCTGAAACTTCTGTTATTTTAATCAGGAATGTAGGGGGGAAGTGGGGGAGACCTTTGGACCAAGGTCTTACTTGAACTACAGAGATTCTATGAATTAAGGGCCAGGTACCTGTTTCAGAATATAAAGGAATATTTCTTTCTTTCACTCCTTCTCTCTTTCCTTCCTTCTCTTCCTTCCTTCCCTCCCTCCTTCCTTTCCCTCTTTCTTTCCTTCCTGCTTTCCTTCTGTCATTCCTTCTCTCCCTCTTTCTTTCCCTCCTTCCTTCTCTTCCTCTTTCCTTCCTCCCTTCTTTCCTTCCTCCCTTCCTTCCTTCCTCCCTTCCTTCTTGCTTTCCTTCCTATCTGCCTCCCTTCCATGATTCTGTTGTGGAATTTAAAGGAATCCTTTCCTTCAATCAATCAATGATCAACAAGCATTTATTGAGAATCTAAAATAATGACAGGCATGATGCTAAGCACTGGAGATAACAAAAGAAACATGGAAATAGTCCCTGCCCTTGAGCTCACTCTCTTTTGGGGGAGACACCTTGAGTGTGTGACTATATCTAGACCTATAAGTACATGTAGAATAAATACAAGGTAGTTTGGGGGAGGGGAGAGCTAGCAGTTGGAAGGATGAGGAAAAGTTTCACATAGAAGGTAGAACTAAAGAGGAGTCTTTTTTTTTTTTTAAGACGAGTCTTAAAGAAAGGAATTTTACCAGTTTCTTAAGGGGATGGACTAGCTTTCTTTTGCTTTTTTTTGTTTGTTTTGTTTTACTTTTTGTCTTGTATCCCCAGTGTCCTCATTGCTAAGCACATAGCACATAGCAGAAATTTAATCAGTGTTTGTTGACTTGATTGATCAATGAGGCAAAAGAGGGAGTCTATTCCAGGGAGAGAGAAAGCCTGTGCAAAATGATAGAGATTAGGAGATTAGGAAATGTGTGTGAGGGGCAGCTTGGCTGGATTTAGTCGTGCTTGATTCTCCATGACCCCTCTTTGGGGCAAAGGTACTGGAGTGGTGTGTCAATTCCTTCTCCATTTTACAGATGAGGAAACTGAGGCAAACAGGGTTAAGTGACTTGCCCAGGCTCACACAGCTAGTAAGTGTTTGAGGCCATATTTGAACTCAGGAAGATGAGTTTTCCTGACTCCAGGTCCAGCACTCTGTCCAGTGAACCACTGGCTTGAAGAGCATAGCAAAAGAAGGAATGTATAGAATAAGACTGGGAGAGGAGATTAAACTTCCTCCTTAATTTCTCCAATTTATCAGGTACATATCTTATTTATACATAGTTATCTGAACGTTGTCTCTTAGCCTGATCTCTAGCCCTTAGCATAAAGCCTCACACAGAGTAGGTGCTTAATAATAATGCTAATTAGAATGTATGTATCTCCAAAGCAATCAGGACCCTGTTCCTTGTGACACTTCTATTTTGATGATGTGAACTTGAACAACTGCTAGTGCAGGATGACATTCACAAAATCTCAGATTTGGGGGGCACCTCCGAGTTCACCTCATCCAACTTATCCCTGAATAGGACCCCCTCCCCACACGCCACTACATCCCTGACCAATGAAGGGGAAGCCCTTCGCCTCTGGTGGGAGCCTATTAGGTTGCTTTGATTGTTAGGAAGTTTTTCTTTCCATGGAGATGAAATTTGCCTCCACACATTGTTCTTAGTTCTGTCCTCTGAGGCCATGCAGAAGAAGTGTCATGGCTTTTCCACATGACGGCCTTTCAATTATCTGAAGACAGCTCTCATGTCATGAACTGTCTTTCTTCTATTTCTCTCCTGTAAATAATCCCAGTTTGATCCAATGATCCTCATATACAGCGGCTGCCCATCCCCTTACCCTTCTAGTAACTCTCCTCTCTTCTCCGTACTGACCCCTGGGCCTTCATAGGGGAGGCAAAACCATGATGAGTTTCCTAAGAGAGGCCCCTTAGGGCCTGAGATCCATTCTATTCTTCCAAAGACAGTTTCTTCCTTTCCTCCTGCCCTGCCAATATCACAGCACTCAAAATAACAGAGCTGAAAGGAGAAACTAAGACCCACTTTATGAAAAATCAAGGCATAATGTAAAGGGGTTAGGACTTGGATTCAAAGGACCTAATTTTGGGGTCCTAGCTCTGCCAACCTCACTAGTTGCGTGACCTCAGCTTCCTCATCTGTAAAATGAAAGTGTGGACTTGATGATCTCCAAAGGTCCCTTCCAGTTCTAAAGTTTTAGTAATTCTGTGTAAGGTGCTAGACTGATTTTGCCTGTAAATAGCTATTTACACAAGGTTGGCACCAATTCTTTGACAATCAACAGCTATTTTTCTGGTAGTGTTGCCTTTAAAAGTCAAGTGGGAATGGGTCATTTAACCCTTCCTCTTCCACTCCCATTCTAACCCCCCCCCTCCTGCTTAGGCTTTTTCCCAGCGTCCTCTTTGGTAGGGATATGCATTCATGATTGGTACATATTCATCTCTGTATTCCCTTGCACAGTGCTTCACACGTAGTAGGACCTTAATAAATGTTTGCTGAATTTCACAGGTGCTGAACTGAGACAATCTGGCGCATTCTGTATGGTAAGAAGCTATCTGATGCCCTGAGCAGGCAATTTTAGGCTGTGCCTACACCCAAGCATCTGAGTGTTTGGTAACGTGCAGACAAAATACACAAATGGTTGGCTAGAGTTCCCATTTTTTTCATGGAAAAAAAAGCAAGAATGAAGAAAGTCTTATTCAAGAAATTTGCTTCATGAATTCAAATCTGGCCTCAGACACTTATTATCTGTGTGACCCTGGCCAAGTCACTCAACCCTGTTTGCCTCAGTTTCCTCATCTGTAAAATGAGCTGGAGAAGAAAATGACAAACCACTCCAGTATCTTGACCAAGAAACTCCCAAATGGGGACAGGAAGAGTCAGACACAACTGAAAATGACTGAACAAAGAAAGAACAGTGAACAGAGATGTAATATGTAAAATGGCAGTTAGTTTGAATCCTTGTTGTTATTTAATACCTATGTGACCTTGGACAAGTTACTTAACCTCCTGGGATTCAGTTTCCCCATCTGTATAATGAGAGCATTTAAACTAGATGACTTCTGAAGTCCCATTTGGCTCAAAATCAATGACAGGAAGGAAGGATAGCCTAATGGAAAGAGCATCAGATCTGGATTCAGAGGACATGGGTTTGAATCCCAGCTCTGACATTTACTTGATGTCTCAACTTGGGCTAGTCACTGAGGCCTCTTTGGAGCCTCAGTTTCCTGATTTGTAAAATAACTGGGCTCTAAGGGTCCCTTTCAGCTTTAAATATATGATCCTATCAAATTAAGACTGGAAAAGAGGCAGCTAACTAGAAGGAAGAGACTAGGAGAGACTATTAAAAGCTGTCAAGTTAATTGTGTGATGTCAGATTACATCTCTGTAATACACCTAAACTACATATAAGTATCCCATACTCTGAGATTACTTAGCACTACAATTAAAAAAAAAACCCTTTAAAACAGCTGCTTTTGCATTAGAATAGCAGACACAATGGAGGAGGGGTACTAAGGGGAAAGAGAAAGAGAAAAAGACCATGAATTAAAGGACCCAAATGTTTGGAAGAAAAATTCCCTCTATTCCCTCTGGGTGATAGCAATGGAAAGTTACCCAAGAGGGTGGCCGCGGAAACTGGACTGAAGGAGTCTTCTGTGAGGAGAAGCTTCCTAACAGAGACCCATCCAAGAGTAGAATGGGATGCCTCTGGAGGGAGTGAATTCCCTATCCCCAAAAGTCACCCAGCAGAGGTTGCCTGGTTTCTTGTTGGGGTGTTGTAAAGGGGAACTAGAACTTTCAGTAGAAGTTGGACTGGATGTCCAATGAAGTAAGTGCCTTCCAACCATAAGTCTGTGATTCAGGGATTGGAATGGCACAATAGATAGAGAGCCAGGCCTGAAGTTAGGAAGACCCATTTGCATGAGTTCAAATCTGGCCTCAGACACTAGCTGTGTGACCCTGGGCAAGTCACTTAACCCTGTTTGCCACAGTTTCCTCATCTATCAAATGAGCTGGAGAAGGAAATAGCAGACTACTCCAGTATCTTCGCCAAGAAAACCCCAAGAAGGATCACAAAGAGTCAAACACAACTGAAAAACAACTGAACAAATTCAATTATAGGCTTTCACCCAACTCGTTATTGTTTAATAGCCTGTATTTCCTGCCTTTGACCTATCCTGGCTGTGTGACCCTGGGTAAGTCACTTAATCTTTGAAGGCCTTAGGCAGCTCTCTAAGACTGTAAATTGCAAAGAAAGTGCTGACCTTTCTCATCTGGGAGTTTCCAGATCTGAGAGCTCTGTATATCAGTGAAAGCACAGTCCTTATCTATATGCCCCCAAGCAACTGGGTAACAAATCCAGTGCATGGGGTAAGTATATCATGCAAGCACCATGAGATAGGAGAGAATGTGATAACTCTAGAGTAAAAGAATCTAGATTAAAAATCTGCCTCTGACGCTTCCTCAGTGACCTTGGGTAAATCCCTTAACTTCCCTCAGGTTGAGTCTCCTCATCTATAAAATAAGGGGGTTTGACTAGATGACTCCTGAGGTCTCTTCCAGAACCTGCGGTGCTCTGGAAAAAATACTAGGTTTTGAGTCAGAAGATACGGATTTGAATTCCACTTGTGTGACCTCAGGCACATATCCTTGCTTCTTGGCCCCCTAGCATGCTCATTAGAAAATGAAGGGTTTGGACTTAGTGACCTCTAAATTTCCTTTCAGCTCTGAATCTATGACACTACAATGAATCAAGGAAGAAATTGTTACTCCCATTCGCTTCCTTCCAAAGAGGAGCAAGTTGCTTGGGAGTATACTCATGAGTCAGAGCCAAGATGGCGGAGAAAAGGAAGTGACTCACCTAACCC